TTAGAGTTAAAGATTCTTTTTTTAGTTTTGTTTGAGATGTGAGATTTCCAGGAAATCTCCTAAATAAATTACGATGGCAAAGACTCAAGCAGGAAATAAGGAAATGTGTTAAGATTCAAAGAAAATTTGTTTGGTAGATTTAATAAAGGAACCGCTTTCTATTTTCTGGCTCATTTAGCTGGATCTGTAGATTATAAACTCGATTGTTTTGTTAATTTCTGTTGTTCTTCTTTACCATTCAGTAATGTAATGTTTTACAATCATAGAGATCTTGTGACTGGAGTTTAATTGTTGGTCTCAGTTATGTTTTTTTAGGTATAATTAGAATTAATATATATGTTTATTTACTCACGTAGAAATGTTAAGATGGACGCTCTGAAATGTCTTGTAACTATATGTTTCCTCAGCGTGTGGGACATGGAGAAGATAAACACTCTGATGCAGACAGGTCTCCAGTGTTTCTCCAATTCGTTGATTGTGTTTGGCAGATGACACAGCAGGTGACTATTTTAAACTACTCCCATTACTGCTGCCTCTATATGCCAGTTTTTTGTCAATATAAGAGAAATTCTCAAGAGTTTTTTTTTTTTTCTATATCATTTAAACATAAAAAGTTTGTTTTTTTTTAAATTTATATTTAATACTGTTAGTATTGAATATTTTTGTTTAACCTAAATTGAAAACTAGAATTAAAAAAAAGTTGTCTTGTCTGTTTGTTTTCAATTGCAGTTTCCTAATGCTTTTGAATTTAATGAGCACTTTTTGATCACCATTTTGGATCACTTGTACAGCTGTCTGTTTGGAACTTTTCTATTTAACTGTGAGAGAGAACGAGTCAAAGAGGTAAGAGACTTTGAATCTCAAGTGGACAGAGTTTCATTTCCTGTGGTCAGTCCTGGTCAAGCTATTTGTAAAGGTGTTTAGACATTGTTATTGCCTTGTCAGTTATTATAATTTTTTTTTGTTTTTTTTGCTTTTTCATTTTCATAATCATGAAGCTGATAAAAAAAATATTTATTGACCTTATTTAATTTTAATAATTTAAAGCTTTACTTGCGTTCGGATTAATGTGCTATGAATGGTGCTTGAGATAATAAACTTGGATAATGTTTGACTTCTGAAACTGAAATCTTTTTTTAGCCTTGTATTTTTTGTATATGTTAGGTGTCCTCTAGAGATCATACTCACTGCCTTATTGTGTGTCCCCAGCGTGTGCAGGAGTTGACTGTGTCCCTGTGGTCCTTCATTAATTGCCAGCTAGAAGAGTTCACGAACCCCTTGTACGTTGCTCACATCCACCAACATGTTCTGTTCCCAGTGGCCAGTGTAAGGAGGATGGAAGTTTGGGCTGGTTACTACTGCAGGTGGAATCCCAGAATGAAACCTCAGGTAATTTTATCTCATGATGTCGGTCACTAAGTTTTATCGGAGACTTTTGGTTTCTGCTTCAGCAGAGCTTAAATTAAATAGGACATGGTGGCTGAAACAGAGTTTGCATGTTTTATTTTCTATTGGGATCGTAAATGTGTCTGGGTATAGACATCTCTCTCAATAAATAATTCCTAAAAACATGTGCATAAAGTAAGTGTATACAACTTCAGCTGCCTGGTCATGCATTTAGTATGTTGATCTACGCCCGTTCATGCCCTGACCACTGTTGTCCCTTGCATGAGGGTTGGGCTAATACTATCTTCATTTCGGAAAAAGTCTTCAAAACTATTACAATAAATAGTTATGTGGTGGGCTCAAAACACAATCGCTAATGATTTAGACTAAGAGTTTTTGGTGATTACTAACACAACCTATGTTTACTATGATTACTAACACAACCCATGTTTACTTGTTTACTATAACTAACACAACCCATGTTTACTATGATTACTAACACAACTCATGTTTAATATGATTACTAACACAAGCCATGTTTACTATGATAACTAACACAACCCATGTTTAATATGATTACTAACACAAGCCATGTTTACTATGATAACTAACACAACCCATGTTTACTTGTTTACTATAACTAACACAACCCATGTTTACTAAGATTACTAACACAACCCATGTTTACTATTTTATGACATTAGTGTATAGAGAAGTTTTTAGTTTCATGCTGAAAATTAAATGATTTTGGTTTATCAAGTAAAAAGTTGATTAAAAAAATATCTATCCTGTTTCTTACTAACCAGGAGCCCATCCACATTCGCAATCGTGAACTTTTGATACTAAAACTACAACTGCATAGAAAAGTAGAAGAGTTGCAGAGAGAGTTGGCAACAAGGAACAGGCTGAATGTCCAGTCATCACCTCCGAGGTTTTCCAGTGCTGTAGATATATGATCCAAGGAGGAGTTGTGCTTGTGGCAACAGACACTGAGTACTGCAATGAACTTTTTTTTGTTGAAGGCTATGTGATGTAATTATGGGCAACCTAATTGTTGGGAGGACTCTGAAACACATGATTTGAATTATTGACTTCTGCTTGTCTTGTAGCTTGTGAAAATAAAATGTAATTGCCTCTTTGCTCTCTCTACAAACTAGAGATGGGTGGGAAGCGGGGGAACTTGGGGAAAAAATAAGAAGTATTTGCCGATGTGAAACGTTGATGATTCTACACAATTGATCTTACAATAAGATCTGACAGAAAAAAAGTTGATTGCGATGCTCCTAATATAATCATTATTTTAGAAGTAGGCAAGGGGTTGCTAATTTAATGAGAAATACGTTCCTAATGTAATCATTATTTTAGAAGTATGCATTGGGAGGTATTCCTTACCCCAGAAATAAATCTGACATCTGAAATTTTTACACAAAAAAAAAGGGACTCGTATTATGTTGTCCTATGAGAGAATCGATGGACATAATGTTGAATAACATTTGAAAAAGATAGTGTTTGGATTTTAAAAGCTATAAACTTGATTTCATTGCTAGATTGTATATTTGATATGTAGAAAACATTCACTAAACTGAACTGGCCTCTTGTTTTATTCATGCTGAAATGTAGAATTCTTTCATCATTTTATTTGTCTAAAAATAAAATAACTAGTTTATTGCTTCATACTTTAAGCTTTCGTTGAGACTTTGTTTCACCTTTTATTTCCCCTGTACGCTAATATTGACTCCATAAACAATAAAATCCCAACAGTTTGTCGTTGGTGCATGAAGCTATTAAGTATTACAGAAATGTGCAATGCACAAGATTTCATGTTCATTCTTGATTCATTTCATTTGTATATTTAAAAGGCTCACTGTTTGAAAGATCAAGGTCAGTGTTGTAAATTGTAACCGCTGTAAGTATTTCATTGACTGTAGTCTATAAGATTTCATGGGCTCTGACATTTTGTAGCTTTACAGAATGTCTTATTCAACGATACTATATATCTTTGTTATGATTTCTTTGACCATAGACTAAAAAGGCTTGGCCTCACAACAGATTATTTGTTATGCCACAGCTGCTTGAGAAAACATGCAAGTCTATGTCATTGAAATTGAATCATCTTCTCTTTTGAAATAGCGTCTATACTCTATAAGATACTGTAAGAATTAGTAAAGAAGAAAAGTCACATTTGACTTTTCAGTGTCTTTGCAGGACAAATTTTGTCTTAAATTATTTTGTTTTTTTGTGTAACTATTGTAAATTGTTATTTATTGACATTGCAACTGATAAAATACTTTGGTTATTTTGCTTTTTTGTTTGTTTGACTTCAGTTATGCCAATGCCTGACTTTTGCTGTATCATGTTCAACTAAACATTACTCTCATTTATTTTTTGACAATGTGCATGTACAATACATTATATGAACGTAGCAAAAAAGTAAAACTACTTTAATGCATGTGATGTGTAAGCTAAAACTCTGCAGTCTGCAAGTTATTTGAACTATTAAAAAAATCTTTTTTTTTTTTGTTACTTATGTTTAATATCAAATTAATCTTTTAATGACATTTTTGTTCTAATCTAAAAATTCAATTTTCCTTGTGATAATTTTAACCACAATTCTTGAGAGACTTCAGATCATTAGATTGTGTGATTTTCTTATGTAATATTCTTAGTTCTGACCCGTCTCAAATGGGAGATGACTGCATACCAAAAGTGATCTTTTTTTTTGTGAGCTTAATGAAGGATAGCATAACAGAGGTGCCCCCCCCCCTCTCCTGAAAGCACTTTACAGATCAAATCTTGCACTATTTCACTCTCACTGGCGTAGAGGAAAAGAGCTGGCAGTAGATGACCACTGTAAGAGACATCTGGAGAGCGCTCACCAGTCACTGAACACACATATCCTAGAAAGGTCCTTGCTGATGGCAAAAGCAGATGATGAGAAAAAAACTTAAGTAGCACAGTACACACACCCACACTTCCACACCCCTTTGGACAGCAGCTTTGTCTGAATTAAATGTGGCAAAATATGCTGGTCACAACTGGGTTGTTTTCAGATATTGGTTAGTTCATGTCAAGTAACCCAATGGCAATTATTGAATGGCATCTGAACGTAAGTCTGCAGTAAGTACCTGGTGCTACTACAGTGTTAAATGTTCTGGGACAGTGTTCAGTATAGACCAGGGGCAGACTGGCTATATGGGCATTCAGGCAAATGCCTGGTGGGCTGTTACCCAAATGAGCCGGTAGGACCACAGTCATCATCTTCTTTTTTGAAGTCACGTCTGTATTTTATAAGATAAGAGCCCTCATGGATGCTACTATGGCATGTATTAAATTGTTAAAGGCTTTATAGTATTATCCTATAAGAGGGGCCCTCTGAGCGAAGTATTGAAAAATCTTCTACTGACTCTACTAGTTCCCTACTAATGTAATCTTCATCCTTTTAGGGCCTAAACGCTTTGCGATTAAAACAACAAAAGGCCTTATTACTTATAAGGATATAGTGTTCACTGTATGCATGTGTACAGATATTGATACATTATCAAACTTAACATAATGATTTTGAGGACAGGCAGACCTAGAATTGGATGTCCTTCATATAATATACAATTTTTGGTCGAACGGTATAGAAATGCCCAGGCCAATTTTGATACCCAGTCCAACCCTAGTATAGGCCAATGATCTTTTGCTTTAAGTAGTTGTAGACAGATTTTAAGTCTTGTATGAAGCTATGTCTCTCTATTTGGCAAATGCCATATTGCCAGATTGTAACTGAAATACCTGGTATAATCATTAGTTCACTGTCATGTTTTTAAAGTTTTTTCCTGCATTTCATATAATTTCATATAACTTGTGAGAGTCTGTTGGATGACAGAAGGGTTGATGCACTAGCAAACCATAATTGTATTTGTACAATTTTATATTAATTGAAAAATATATGAATTTTAATGCTACCAGTTTGTTGTTTATTGATACATAACCTCTTAATCATTCTCCATTAATCCATAAACATAGCCTCTTCAATCATTCTCCATTATTTCATATTCATACATTATCATTAGTTTGAAAAATCTTCACCTAAAAAAAAAATCACATATATTCTTTGTGGTTGACATTTGCTAGTCCTCAAGGCATGCTGTTTCAAGTCTTGTTTGACTATGTTCCTGTAATGTATAACTTAAGTATTGAAGAAAGTGTCTTCTATTAAAATAATTTTTCTAAAACATTTGATTTTTTTTACTTTTGAGTTACTGTGCCTTATACCAGTTAGCATAAGTCCAAAGCATTATCATGTCCCTCTTACTGTAGAACCTAAAGACTTCAGGCCTCCAGATCATCAAGAAATTGATTATTACCCATCAACTTTATAATTACAAATATTTACAACGGTTTTACTATGGGAACCTGTTAGCATTTAAAGTCTACATCTTTCTTTACAAATCCTTTAGCTCTACTGATGAATATTGACAATATTTAGTGTGGAATAAGTTAGATGAATACTTAACTGCTCCTCGTCACATAATTGTCTTGCATTATCAAGAGCCATATTTGTATTGTCTAAGACTGAAATAAATCCCAAAGCCTCCATATCATTTTTTTTTGGTGGCATATGGTTTGTGGTCTCTTAAAAACAAATTCTGACCAAAGTAACTTTCCAGCCATTGACAATTTCCTGCTTATCCAATAGGATGCACTCATCAATCAACCTCTTGAAGCATTACGAAATGCCCCTGTTGATACATAAAACACTTGGTCTGGTTATCTTGAATTTGAAAAACTATTCTTTAAATCCTCTCTATATAGGCCTACTTGGCTTCCCATTTCACTTTTTGTGGTTGTCCTTTAAGCAGTTCATTCAATGACTTGACTATCTCTTCTTGGATTTTAAGAAATTTCCTCTAGTGGTTACCAAAACTAGAGAAAAAAAATCCAAAATACTTGAATTGTTTACATTAGATCCAACACAGCATAAAACTTTCATGAATTATTTGCTAGTAAATCCTCTTACATTTACGTTTATTGAATATATGAAAATTGAAAATAAGATTTTACTTCTAACAGCAAGACCTTATAAGACTTTTGAGTTATATTAGCACCTTAATTTTTAATTCTAGAAAGTAAATCCCTCTTGGACTTGTAAACTTTAGATCTAGAAATAAAATTTTCCTTCTATAAATCTTGGTTTTAGAAATATTTTTACTTTATTGACTGATTAACGAAACAAAAATCTCTCAACCAGGAAATGTATATATAGATCTATACTTAGTGTTATTCACTGGTAACAATAATCTCAATTATTTGAACTTCGAGTCAATTGTAGGAATGTGCTAACTAACAAAAGGGTCTTTTTTTTTTTTTACTACAGCTAAGATCCTCCCACTTCATTCAGTGCATTGGCCAGCAAGCTATTTCCATAAAAATTTATTTTAGGCCTCTTGCACCTGGTGTCCACTGATCTGAGGTCCTCCATGAAAGTGTGGCGCCAAATTATACAATGGTATCCCGGGTTTGATTTTTTCATGTATTAGCCTCCATGTCATTGCAACTCTTGCTATGAATAATTCATCCCAAAAAACTTGTGATGCTCGGTCGCAACCTCATTAAGTGGTTGAGTCCCAGATCGACATAGGATTTCTTTGCTTTTAGACCCAGTCTCTGTAACTGACTCTTCTTATAACAGTAAGAGTATGTTCAACAAAATATACCAGTGAAAACAGCTATTCTTGCATTCACTCCATCTCCAGTAGGGTCAACAAAATATACCAGTGAAAACAGCTATTCTTGCATTCACTACATCTCCAGTAGGGTCAACAAAATATACCAGTAAAAACAGCTATTCGTGCATTCACTCCAATCTCCAGTAGGGTCAACAAAATATACCAATGAAAACAGCTTTTCTTGCATTTACTCCAATCTCCAGTATGGTCAAAATTGACTAAATCAACACAATTTCTAGTTAAGGAACCATCTAATTTGAAAAACTTGTACTGTATGTTAAAATAATGAAACAAGTAAAATATATCAGTAATCTTTATTATGTGAAAAACAATTACAAAAACTTGGGATTTTAAAAAGCATACAACTAAGTTTTAAACATAAAGGAGATAATTGAATGGATTACAATTGATAAAGAACAAAACTAGACAGTATACAATAATTATTTAAGGCAGGACTCTTTCCTAATGAAGTTTCCAAACCCTAAGTCTATGGAAAAGTGTTCAACATTTATAAGGCAGTGAGGTGAAGGTCTTTCTAAACAGTCATTAGACACACAATACAGAGCTAGCTATCTCCTTTTATAATGCCTCCTTGAGTCCAAACTGTAGTTATAGAAAACATTTTAAATTAACTCATGGGTTTTAAAGCTTTGGTAAAAAAAAGTTTAAGTATATATAGAATTAGTTTTTAAAAAATAAAAGCGGAGACCACAAACTGCTGAAAGCGTTAAATGAATTGTATTCTCTTATCTTATAAAACACAGATGTTACTTAAAAAAAAAAAAAAGATGATTATGTCCTATGTGTCCATAAGTCAATCTAGTCATGGATAGGTCAATGTATTTTCTTAATTCAAAGACAAATAGCCCACATGTAAAAAGCAGACAAAAAAACTTGATTCAACTCAAGAAGCCCACATGTAAAAAACACAAAAAAAAAATGAGACAATATTAGAAGCCACTACACAAAAGACTCTTACTGGATTCAAATCATAAAACAAAATGTATGTGTTCTGCAAGTTATTCAATTAACAAAAATGTCTTCTATGACCTTAAGATGAGGCTGAATTCTTTTTGTATTACACATGAACTGAATGCCCAATAAGAGCAAAAGAGATTGAGTCAGAGAATGTCGACATGAGCATGGCATCAATGTTCAAATTATTGCATTATGCTGAACAGTTAGCCCAAAAACAGATGCATACACATGCACAAACTGTGGCAAACTCTGCCACATCAGAATCAGCTTGATTAGTCAATCCAGATTCCGTCCCATCTCAAGAGGTAACCAAAATTAGTGACTCATCTGGGCGCATCCAGACAAAAATATATCTTTATTGTTACCACTGATTTACATTCTAGTTGTGATTCAAACCAGATATAATTGTTAACTAAATAATTAGCCCCACCAAATATACAACCTTATTTACAAGTTTATATTCAAGAAAAATGGACAACTTTTTAAAAGTTGGAATGTTTGAAGCATAGAATACAAAATTAATTAGAGAAACAAATATTTTATCAGATTTACAAAACTGCTAATTTCAGGTATCCATTAAAACTGGGTGGACTTAAGATCCCGAAATAAAAAATCCCAGGATTTGAACCCAGGATTCCTAGTTCAAAGCCAAGCACTTTACCACTTAGCCACCACGTCTCCTATTTTATTTTTGTTAAAATTGCTTTTGTATAACACAATTTTTCATGCTTTTAAATCTTAAAAGTATTTTTTTAAAGAGATAAATCAGTTTTCAACTACAAAAATCAATTTAAAGCTCGAAAATTTCTGTGCTTTTAACTTGAGAACAGGATGGTATGGAATTTCAAAAAGTACACATACGTGCAGCGTAACATTCCAACAAATAATCTCAACTTTATTAGTGCAAGCAACTTTTAAAAGTGATTAAAAAAAAAAGCACATTATGATCTATACACAATTTGTTCAATTGAAGATGCAAGGATGAAAAAAAAAATATAGCTACAAATCCAAATTTCTCTCCCAAAATTAACCAAAGGAAATGGAACTGACAATCTTTTTCTTATGTCACGGCAAAATGTGCGATTGAAAAATTGGCCAGTCTTAAGATTTGCTAGCTTACTTTTAAGACCGTTGAAAAAAAAAAAAATTCTGACTCAGTAAATGAATACCTAACAAAGCTTTTTTACCCAAAGTGTATAATACATCATCAGTGGATTCAAAGTCGATCAAAGCATTTAAAGATGTGAGCAAATGGTTCAGTAATACAGTCAGTGCCAAGATAAACAAATATTCACAACACATCTCTATTTTTGACAATGTCTTGTTAGTGCAACATGTTTTTTGTTGTTTTTTTTATTTCATTGCTAATCCACTCCTAGAGCTAATTTTAAAAAATTGAGGGTTATTAAATTAGTACCCCAAAAAAAAGATAAGTTAAAAGTTTTGGATACATTAAAGGAATGAAATCTACGAAAAAATTTTGAATGTATTAACATAAGTTTTCATATCTAAAATGTTTAGCACTTTGTTAAATGTGAATATACAAATATATATTATAAGTAAATAACTTGTTCAGACTAAATCAGTAACATATATCCAAAATTTAAAAAAGTTCAGTTTGGAATAATTTTTCATACCAAATAATTGTAAAATATTTATCTTATCTTAGTACATGAGAACACTCTACAGTGTCAAACAATGTTGGTCAGGAATCACTTTATTGTCCTTCTTGAAATTAATTCAGACTTGCAATACATAAACTTATTGGTTTGGTAGATTAGAATGTTATCACTTTGATGCTTATGAAAATTCTTAAAGGCTAATACCTTTCAGTATTAACTTGCCAGGTTGGCTTGTGACAAATTTTAAAAATGAACAAAGAAAAAAAATTCTTCAACATTTCTGTAAGAAAAAGAACTAAGTAAACTGTAGGCAACCTGTATTTCTAAACTTGTTTAAAAACTACAGCTGATGTCACTATTACAGAGGGTCAGCTATGAATAGAAATATACTTGTGGGCTCAATGTATAGAACAAACTGCTCTGTAAGTGAATAGGAACCCATACTTTTGCCTTCAAATGCTTCTGTCATAGAATAGCCATTTACATTTTTAAAACCAAGATCAGCAAATGATGTTTTGTAAGGTATAGGGGTGCCTTCATTATCTTTGTTTAGTACACCGATAGCCACAGAGCCTGGTTTAGAAAGTTTCTTCAGCCACACTGAAATGGAGCCTGGCACCTGAAAATAATTTTAAGGAAAAAAAAAAAAAGAAAGATTAAATAAAATGAAACCCAAAAATTTGTGAACATTTTAAAGTTTGTGTTTTTTTTATCAGGTAAGAAGATGACTTTATTAGTAAAGCGGGATGTGTGTCTGAGAAGCATAAACCATTCGGATACCTATCAAGGGTCTTGAGTTCAAATATTGACTCAAGCTGAGTGCTGTTTGTTGAGCGCCTGTAGGAACATGTAAAACTTCTTCCAGATACCTCCAACCCACCCCACCCCCCGCAGACGTCCACAAAT